GAAAGGACAATAGTAAGTGCTGGAGAGGATGTGGAGAAACAGGAACCCTCAAACACTGCTGGTGGAAATGTAAAATGCATGCAGTCTGGCAGTTTCCCAAAAGAGTTAAATGTAGAGTTACCATATGACCCATCCATTCTACCACTAAGTATATCCTCAAGAGAAATGAATACATGCCTACATGAAAATTTCCACATGAATAGCAACATTGATCCTAATAATCAAAAAAAGAAAATCACTCCAATATACATTAGCTAATCAGTGGATAAATAAAACGCAGCATACTCATACAACGGCCTCCTGTTTGGCAATAAAGATAAATGAAGTACTGATACACGCTACGACATGAGCAAATCTTAAAAATGGTATACTAAGCGGAGGAAGCTAGTCACCAAAGACCACATATTATATGGTCCATTTATAGGAAATATCTGTACCAGGCAAGTCTAAAGAGATAGAAAGTAGGTTAGTGGCTGCCTGGAACTGGGGGTGGGTAGCTGGGGATACGGGAAGGGACTGCGAACGCGCACAGGGTTTCTTTCTGGAATGATGGAAACGTTCTAAAATTGACTGTGGTAATGGTTGTACAACTCTGTGAATATACTAAAAAACCCCACAGAATCACACGCTATAAATGGACAAATTATATGATATGTGAATTACGTCTCAATAAGGCTGTTACTAACATTTTTTTTAATAGTGGAGGAGAAAGAACCCAAGAACAGGAAATGTTTGGGATCCAAGGAGTAAGGAAATCACAAGGTCTCTCGAGAAGGAAAGGCGACTAAAGGTCCCTTCTTGAATATTCTAAGGCTATAAAATGCTGTCAAGAAGATTCTCCCATAATCCTAAAGTAAACTGCATTCCCACAGCTCACGGGACAATACAGGTTATCACACTGATCTTCCAAAGAACTGAGATGTCAAACAACTTGCCGGAAGTCACACAGCAAGGAAGTTCAGGAGTCAGTGCTCAGTTAAGAAACGCAAGAAACTCTCTGTCCTGAAATTGCAGGTCTGAGGATAAAAACAGTATGAGGTGGTCACGGGGACCACTAGAGAGGAAGCGGGTCCTTCATCAAAGAGCGCTAGAAAGTAACAATGGTTTGCCTGGTCCTCACTTCACAATCATCTCCATTCCTGGATCCAAATCTGTGTGTCATATGGCAGCAGAAAGGAGATCTGGAAGTGCACAAATGCCAGAGGAAATTTCCAGCTGGAAGACTCCTGTCAGTCAACTAATGCCATCCTGAAATAACACTGCACAAAATGCCACCTTATGGACTCTGAGCACAGCCCCACCTACCACCTGATGAAAGACACCCAACTGGATCTGCTTCCTCGGGAAGGGAAGGGGACAAGAACTCACACAGTCAGTCCTAGCACACACAAGGTAGCGGTAGGGACTCCCACACATCACCTCCCTTAGCCGTCATGCCAGCCTCAAGTTCCAGGTCACACGGATCCCACTGGAGCCACAGAGGAAGGTCAAGGGACTTACTACTCAAGGACTCAAAGCAAGTATTTCGCCAGGCTAGATGCAAACACGTGTATCTGTAAAGTATCACCTCTTACCTCAATAAGGAACAGCTGAAAGGCTATCTGGTCTCCTGTCTCACCCTCAGGCTGCAGTGATATTCCTTTTAACAGCACATCACAGTATCCTTTTAAAAGCGGTAAGCCATGGAATGCTGACTCCTTGACTACCAAAGACCACAGAGAGTACCATTAAATTTCATCTACTTTGCACAGACTGGAGGACACGATGGTGATAAAACGACTCCTTTTTCCCTGAGAAAGGTAGGCGTAGGAAATCTCTGTCTGTCTCCCCAGCCAGACTTCAGTTTAGAACCCGGTCACCCCACGCATCAGCAGAGTCACTCACAACAGTTTTCTGAGCTTTTTAGAGCCTAATGTTTTTTCATAAAATGAAGGTAATACCTACCAAACTCATACTATTAAGATGATCAAATGAGAATATGTAAGAAGTGCCTAGCACAATCCCTGGCACATATAGCAGATGCTAAGATAACACAAAATTAATAAATATAGTTTCCTTCCTTTTAAACACACATAAAGGATAATTTAAGTTAAAACTAGTTTTTAATATATTTGGAGAGATTACGTCTGTTCAATTCTCTAATTTTCCTGAATATAGAATGACATCTCCAACATAATCAAGAAACACTAACACACACCTAGCTTTCCTAATATATAGGTATAAACTGAAGGAGCTGGGGCAGATGAGAACATTTCAGTCCTAGCCAAACTGCACAAATTTGCATTTTGAGTACCATTAATATAATGACAGTGTCTTTTTTTTTTTTTTTTTTGTCTCTGATATCTTTAGAAAACCCTTTTCTAGAATTACAGTTTTGGTGCATAATTTAAAACAATCAGAAGCAATTTTGCTAATGATATATCTAACTCTCTTTGGTATGCACAAAAGCAGTAATTTAGTGGTCAGAAAATAAACTTAATTCTCCATTCTGATGCTATAAAGCGATGTGTACAGTTGATTTCTCAGATACAAAACACTCATCAGAAACAAGCGCGGCAACAGCCTTTGCGGGAGCTCTATCAGAAACATGACCCATTTCCCTCTCTGCTAGAACGTCTCCCTGCTGCGGGGATTCTCAACCCTAAGCCTTGTCCCCAGGAGGGTTTCATTTAGGTCTCATCAAACATTGCCGGGGGGGGGGGGGGGGCTGTTAACAATCAGGCATATTTAATGGTATTATCGAAGAGCCCCAGATATAGCAGCTAGACCACAGGAAAATCAACATGCAGCCATTCACCCAACAAAACCAGACTCTACCATTCTGAGCTACCACAGCTGCAAGGTGGCTTGACCTAAGTGTGGCTGCAGGAGGGCACCGTGGGCATCCAGCTCAGCCCCTTAACTGATAGCCAACTGTGAGCACGAGGGCCTCTGCCTTCCTCATCGGCCTTCTTCACCAAGTGTTGTAAGATGAGAATAAAGACAAAAGTACCTCTCCTATGCAAAGTCTGCAAAACATAAAACCTCGGTTCTCATCCCTACCCCTAAAGTCAGGTTCTTACTATTTTACTGCAACCAGCAAAAACAAACGTCCATCAACAGATGAAAACTATATACATCTTGGCATTATGCTACAATGGACTCTGACACAGCCGTTACAAGAAAACGTCATGTTCCTCATAACATGAAAGAGAAAGCTACAGACAGACAGATAAACGTAATCCCACCTGTGTTTTGTCCTAAGGAAAACATATAAATATCATGACATATGGATAAATGAGTTAGGGCTGGAGGGGGAGAAGAGACAGGGGAAGGTTCAGGAGGACAACAGCTCCAGGCAGAGGCCAAGATAAGTACAAGGGACGGACACACCAGATTTTCTCTTCACAGAAATGGGAAAAGGTGAAGGGACTGGAGGTAATCTTTGGTTTTTGTTTTGGGTTTTTTGTTTTGTTTTGTTTTGTTTAAGACAGACTCTCACTCTAGAGCCCTGAATAGAGTGCTGTGGCAACCTCAAGTTCTTGGCAAGCGATAGTCTTGCCTCAATTTTTCTACTTTTAGTAGAGACAGGGTCTCATTCTTTTCTTTTTTTTTTTGAGACAGAGTCTCACTTTATCACTTTGGTAGAGCTGTGGCATCATAGCTCACAGCAACCTCAAGTGTTCCTCTTGCCTCAGCCTCTTGAGTAGCTGGAACTGCAGGCGTGTGCCACAAGGCCTTGCTGTTTTTAGAGATGGGGTCTTGCTCTTGCTCAGGTTGGTCTCGAACTCCTGAGCTCGGGCAATCACCCATGTAAGCCTCCCAAAGTGCTGGGATTACAGGTATGAGCCACCACATCCAGCCTGGATTGGAGGTAATATTTAAAAGGTTTTGTTTGCATAAAATAAATGTGTCATTAATATCTGGAAAAACTTACTCTATCAGTCCCACTGAGGAGACACGGGGGAACGGCCAGTTGCCCAGGCCTCCTGCACAAGGTCCCTGGCTGGTGCTCAGCACTGACTCTGGCCCTGGTGGGTTTCTCTTCCCAAGCTTCTCTCGTTCCCTCATGCCTGAATCCAAGCAGGTTGTCCTCTACAGCCTCAGTCTGTGCTGAGGCATCTTTCAGCTCCACCTTGGACAACTCGCCTGCCTTTACGAGCTGGGCCTCCCAAGGTGGCTTCAGTTCTCGTGGTCTGGAAAACGACTTGGGTTGGACAAACTGTCCGAGTTCACCTCTCAGCTGAACAGCTATGTGCTGCAGTGTCTTCTCAGTTTTACCATCAAGGTGTTCTCCAGAAACCTCCTGCTCGGCCAAGCATATTCGTTCCAGAAGCAGCTCGCGTAGCACTTTCAGAAGGTCTGGCCTGTTTTTCCAAAAGGGAAAAAGCAAGAGAATCAAGTTTTCTGCCACATCCTCATCCCCTTGCTCAGATTCCATCTACACTATATAGTATAGTTGTATACCTGCAACATGCCAGGAACCACAGCAAGCATTTTATCCTGCGGAACCTCATGACAACCAAACAAGGCAGGTACTACCATGTTTATTCACATGCAAGAGGACAACAGACACACAGCAAGCCAAGTGGGCCATGTGGACCTGTGAATGCAGGCTGGGCCTAGGTAGGAACAAGCAGAACCAAGACGTGTCCATGACAATCTCCGGGTCCCCCACACATCCCATGGCACCAGCCCCATTCCTATATCCAGGGGCAACCATGGCTGCCAGTGAAACCTGGCCAACCTGGTCAGTCCATCAATGACCCGACCCACCGTGGTACACAATGGGTGTTCACAAACAGACGCCAGTGAAGGGAAGCTGGTCTACAAACACATTAGAAAGGAGGCTGGCTGTGAAGGCAGGTAAAAGTGGCCCCAAATTCTAACTCTTTGAAAGGAAGATAAATCTCCGTATGCAAAATAGCCATGAGGATTTTTTTCTTTCTTAATTTGGAGACAGAGTCTCACTCTGTCACCAGGCTGGAGTGTGGTAGCATGATCATAGCTCTCTGCAGACTCAAACTCATGGGCTCAAGGGATCTTCCCACTTGAGCCTCCCAAGTACCTAAAACTATAGGCACACACCACCCAAAAAAAAAAAAAAAAAATTTTTTTTTAGGGATAGGGTCTCTCTCTGTTGCCCAGGCTGGTCTAAAACTCGTGGCCTCAAGCAATCCTCCCACCTCAGCCTCCCAAAGTGCTGGCATTATAGGCATAAGCCACTGTGCCTAGCCTAGTCACAAGGATCAGACAAGAGGGCATACAGGTAGCAGATGCTTTTCACGTCCCTTGCCACCTGCCATTGGCCCACCTCTGATTTTAGCTGCAGCTGTGTTGGCAGTTCCTGTAGACACAGACAGTCCCACCTGAGGTACTCTCTACATCTCTACCACCTTGACGCTTTTTCCAGAGCTCTCTGAGCCCGCCAGCAAGGCAGCATAGAGGTGTGAAACAGTTTATATTTCTGGGGGAACCCCTTGACCAGTGGCAGAAGAGAGCTGTTGGGTAAATGCCGCAGTCTTTCAACCTTCAGAGGGACAACACAGGCACAGACTACACAGCCCTCGGAAGGTGTCCAGCAGGACTGAAGTCCAGCAGTACTGACCACCCACAGCAGTAACCAGATCTACACTGGACACTTCACAGCTTTGATTCCATTGCTATCTTACCCTTCTTGAGCCCTCCTTATTGCTGCCTGGTGTTACATCCCAGATAAATCACTTGTACTCAAGTCCATATCTCAGCGTCTGCTTTCCAGGCTGCCTGGTGTTACATCCCAGATAAATCACTTGTACTCAAGTCCACATCTCAGGCTCTGCTTTCCAGGGTGTAAAACGCCAGTATGGTGCCCAGGGTAGAGGAGCTCAAGAAGATGCCCTTTTGTGTTTCTTACACCAGGCAATAGAGTAGGCACTGGGGATACAAAACACCCCAAGAGGACTCAGGTGGGTTTCAGAGACAGATGTATATAAGCAAATCACGAGGGTTAGAGAGCAATTATCCCAGAGTGTCCAGCTGGAGTGGCAGACAGAATGTCAGAAGACGGCTTCCAACATCAAGGAGAGGTTGGCAGAGGGAGGGGTGAGGGGCGAGCCTGAGCATGGAAAGCACCATGAACAGCATCACGTGACGGCTAAGGAGCTGAGGCTAGGAAGCTAGGCGGGGAGAAGTGAAGAACCTGGCACACCACGGTCAGGGAAGGAGGGCCACCGAAAGGCCCTGATGGAGTGGCCTGGTCACATGTGTGGTTTGGGAAGGTGACTCTGGCTGCTATTGTGTAAAGAATGAACGGAGACAGACATTTCCCGTCAAGATGCTGGTGAACTACCTGTAGCACTCCTCTCATCCAGCTCTAATGACATGCAAATGACAGCACAGTAGACACAACAACAAACTTTTGAAGATAAACCACAGGGCTCAAAATCAAGATGAAAGTATCTAAAGATCAGAAACAGAGGAGGAAACCCATAGCCCATGAGAAAGAAAAAGAGGCTAGAATGGGGGGAATTTGGAGAAAGCAGCAGAGCCAGAAATTAAACCCCAATAGTTTAAGAGGAAACAGATTTTGGGGCCCTAAAGTAAGCCCGCAGAGGACCAAGTTAGGCAACTTCAAAATCACCACGCCGGCCGGACTAAGGGTAGACGGCACCTGGTAGCCGGCACCAGGACTCAGCACAGACAAACCGAACTCGCAACCAAAATCCACTATTACAAAAGCATCGACGTCTTAATCCTGTAATTGGGTAAAAGGGGTAAAGGCTATGTCGCTTAGTAGGATGCAAGCACTCCGATTTGTACAAATAATCAACACAGTGAAACCTATAATGGCATAAATGTATTTATGATCTAGGTACAAATGACTTAATAAAAAAAAAAAGGTAACAATCCAACAAATGAGAGAATTCACACTTGAGGACGTGGAAACAATAACCAATGTGAAAGAGATTTTAAAGTAAATATGTTTAAATCATCGGAAAAATAAAGAAAACAGGTTAGTAAGGAAAGGAAGGTATGACACTGAGTCAGATTATGAAAAGGGCCCAGAGGGCGCAAGGCCAGGGCAGAGGCAGGTGAGGAAGCTGCGCTGCTACTCCCAGGAGCAGGAAGCTGCGCTGGGGGTGCTGGGGGTGCGGGTGGTCAGGAGAAGGGGATACAACGGCCCTTGTCAGTGCTGGTTCTCTCTCCTTCTCCCTTCAGTTTCTCCTGCCTGCCCCATTTCCAGAAACCTTGTGAAGCGGTCAGACTAGGCTCCAGCCACTGCTTAAACACGTGCTGACCTTCCCATCCTGCTACCACGGGAAATGCACGCACCCAGGTGCTATCTCCCCAGTGAGTCCTCTGAGGGCAGGGACAGGGCCCTCTTCATGTCTATGATCTAGACTGGGGCAGAGTAAATTGCATTCAGATTAAATAGCTATAACAAGCACTGAAATGGGATTAAAAAAATAAAAGCATTCACAAAATTTAAATGTAAGGTACATTTTTCACTTCTAATGTAGGATCATCTAGGTTACACAAACTATCTTAAACTATAGTAAACCCAGACTTTAAAAATACTTCTGCCATTTCAAGCTTCAAGGGATATTAAACTAAATTCTACTTTCCTCTCCCTCTTTAATCTAGATAAAAAATAATGACAATTGTTCCTCAGCTAGCCAGAAGAGGACCATTACTCACCACCAAACAACACACAATAAAACCCGGGAAAAGACTTTACAAACGGTAGTGAAAGGTAGTGAAAGAGGCCATTATAATATACTAAAGTGGTGGTGATGTCAAATAAAACATTTTGAGTGTTACATTGCTGGAAATCTGAATAGTGAATTCTGTAAGCTACCACTGTTATTAAGACCTTTTCAAAAGTTCAGTCCAGGGGTCTATTCAGAGGCCCAAATATTGTTCATATTCCCTCCTGAGCATCTGTGCCAAGTAGAAGATATAAGGGGAAAGGAACTGAGGTTTACTAAACACGTACTACGTGCCAAATCCTTACCCGCACCAAATCATCACAATAAGACTGTGACACAAGGGCTATTATTAATCCCCCTCATTAACAGATGAGCAAACAGGCTCAGGATCCCCCAGCAAGTGGCAAAGATTAGAACCCAGACCTTTCTGACTCCCAACCACCAGGCGGGGCTGAAAAGGGCCTGTCTGCCAGAAGGAAGCATAGCCCCTCCCCCCAACCCCATTCACCACACTCCCCCCAAAGCCCACAGTATAGGTAGTCCCTGGGTTAGGAATGACAAGGTAAGTTTTGTAGGTGTGTCCTTAAGTTGAATTTGTATGTAAGCTGGAACAGGTACATTTACCTATTACCTCTAATAGCCTCTGTTCCTAGGTGTGAGTTGTATATAAGTTGGATGTTTGTAACTTGGAGACTATGCATTCCTCTATGGCCTTCAGAAAGAAGAGGTATCTTTTAACTCTGATAAAGTTTAAAACCCTAATGTTTAGGAAATCCTCTATTTCTCAAGCACTGACAATGGCCACCTAACTATCTGTGATAATAAACCAGAACAGCTACTGACACTAGAAAAATGTTAGATGTCAGAGACTGGGGAAGGGTTTAGCCTTGCTGAGCTCGCAAAAAAACAGAATGCCGCAATCCTTTTTTAGCTTAAGAAACCTCCACAAGGCTTAGCTTATCAATGATACCTAGTAAAAGAAATTCTATGGCCCCTGGCTCTTGCCAGGAGTCATGGGCAATAGTTACTAGCTCCATTTCGGTCTACACCAGAAGAGAGAACTGAAAACCTCTGTTGGGCATGTATCACAGGCTGGCCATTTTTTGTATACCTTTCTTCTTACTCTTCATAGCAACCCTAAGGAGTGGCCAGAGAAACTGAGGCACTGAGAGATGCTGGCTGCAAAGCCCAAGCGGCTGCTATGGATGGAGTAGGAAGAATAGGAAAAGGGGGGAAACTGCTCTTAAAGGATTAATTGAAAAAATACACATGTTCTGACTGTTTCTCCTTTTTTGTTTGAAGAAAAACAACTTGTAGTATTTTCTCACTTAGGAATGACTCCCACCAGATATAATGAGAAGAGAATTTTAATTTAAGCTCCTCATAAAACAGCAGAGTCACAACTACAATGGTATTTTTAAGCTACTGTGGGAAGTGGAAGAGATTTCAGTAGGGCTGATTTTTCTCACTGACAGCAAGGCAGCCCTTTCTGGGGCTCCCAGGAATAATTTTCGAGGAAAGCTTTCTTTCTCCTCTCTATAATGGGCTTGCATGAGGCATTGCTAAAGTCCCCTCGCAGCCACTCACAGGCAGCATAATTACCTAACTGCATGACTGGCAAGATTCCTTCCAGGCCATTTCAGGAGCTCTCTCAGGTAAACTGCACAGCACCATCATCTAAATCCATTTAGCAAAATGAGTTTGTTCTCCCCTTAAACCAGAGAGACAAAGCAATGTCTACCTGGATTCCAGCAGCAATGTGGCCTTCTCATTGAAGAAAGGGGCAAGCAGGTTCACGAGCACGGCGCCTTCTTCCAGGTTTTGGTCTCCAGGGCAACCAGGTTTGTGGGCCCCATCGTAGTCTAAAATACTTGAATCTGTGCACTCTAAATAACCGTTTTTGCAGCACCCTTTGAAACGATCCTCCAAAATCTGCAAATAAAGGTATCTGTTCAAATAGTGGAACACAGAGGAAGGGAAGGATAGAGAAACGGGGTGAGAGGAACACAGGCACACAGGTCCACACACACACACAGTTTAATGCAGGGAGACATGCTAGAAAGAGGATACAGGTGTTTAACATCACTCCTCCTCACCCTCAGTTTCCTCATCTATAAAATGGGGAGTAATGTTACCTCCCAAGGCGGTCAGGACAGTGAAATGAGATGACTGGCTTGCATTAAGCGTCTTAACTCACTACGGGTCTATGCCAGATTGGTGTTCTCTCTCCACACAAAGCCTACTCCTTCTAAGTCCTTCCTAAGAAGGGTACAGAACCCATTCCATTAACTATCAATGACGTGGGTATTTAGTATATTCCTGCAGTGTATATCAGACACTTGTGACACATCAGAAGGCTAACTTAGTCTTTACAGACACATACTAATTAACATGGCCTTGATTTGTCTCATTAGGAAAGTGCAGAGGTCCTCATTCCCATGGAGATGTTATTTATGGATCCACCTTTGTGGGTCACTGAGGGTCCCACAGGAGTGGTACCGAGGATGCATCCAGTTAAAGCCTGTGCCGAGCAGGCCTCGAGGTGCGGCAATTAGCATTCTTTCTCCCCAACCAAAGTTGTAAATTTCTTCTACCAGTCTATAAATAACTCCTCTTGACTTCATTACTGCTGGTGATATACACACTAACCATCACCCCCATCTCTCTACAGTGGTAAAATGATGAAGATTTTTTTAATGGAACACAAGACCCACACAGATGAGCTGTTATTTATGGAGTCTTGTTTGCCACCAATCTAGTTATTAAATCCATCAAACAAGCAACCTCCAAAGAAGGAAAATCCTAGAATTTAATAATAAAAACAGTAATCATTATCATTTACTGAGCATTTATTACATGCCTCTGAATAACATAACAATCTTAAAATGAAGTATTATTATCTTGATTGATGAGGAAACATAGGCTTAAAATAATGGTTAACCAAGGTCCCAGAGACAGTGGTGGCAAATCCAAGACTCAAAAGGAAGTCTCTCTTTTTCAAAGCCCGACTTTTAATTACTCTGCTCTCCAAAACTGCCTACCGTTTATTATCTCCTATTTACAACTCCACAACCTGAAAAACCTAACCTGCCCAATCTGCAGAATCCTGTCCCCCCACCACCAGTCTTTCGGGTTCTCTCAGCCTTGGAGAAGGCCTTCTTCAAATGCTCAGCATGCACGTGACTAGAAAAACCTTCTCCGTGGACCACAAATGACCACAACGCCCAGATGACAGCAAGCTGGGCTCCAGACCGGGAGACCAAGTGTGGTTCCATCAGCAACTCTTTACATGGCAGTCTAATGAGCTGGGACCTCATAGCAGTCAGACACAAGGGTCCTTACCCCAATTCTATCACGAACTTATGCTTACCCTGGAAAAATCCCCATCTTTCATGGGCCCGTTTCCAATGCATAAAATAAAGTGGGTTGGATTCAAGCTGTAAAGATCTATCCAGGTCCAATATTCAATGCCTATAACTCTCCCACAACCACCCCTTTTTTATTTCCAACTATACGTCTTTTTTCATGTCTCATGGCTGGCTCCATCACCCAGTTTGTAACTTCTGAGAGTGGAAAGATCTAGTCTTGCTCTCCATGGGCACAGCAGGCACTCAATGAACAGAAAACCCACTGTACTCATTCTAGACGGGAAGAGTGGCCTGGGCACAGAGTGGGGCGGATGAAATAAGGAGTTAGCTGCCATGTTCCTACCTCATTACTCTGCTCCAAATGCTGGTCACTCAGGAAATCACGCTCGTCATCCTTTCCAATTTTGGTCGTGTTCTCGTCCTCCTTGCTAGCCAGAAGCTACATGGAGCATGGAATGATGTGAAAACGCAACCCAAAAAAAGCGTGCAGCATGAATATGTATGAATAAGTCAGTGACGTCTTTTTTTAAAATGCAAAACAACAAACAAGAACGAGGCAGAAACAAATGCCAAAGCCATGAAATAAAAATTAGCCAAAGTTAGAATTGCTAGTTCTGGCAAATCACCCACGGCTGCCCAGATCAAGCGTAATTTAAGGACAAATTCCCCAAGAAATAACTTTCCCCTTGCCCTTGCTCGGCCTTTCCTAAGCGGCTGCAAATTAAACATGCTGTCTGTTGTGCCGCTGCCATCCTGCCTTTGCTGAATTCACTTTCAGATTACATAAAACTAACAAGATTGTGGAAAATAGCTATTGATAGAATTGAAAATATCAAATAGCAAAAAAGCAATAAATGAAATTTATGGTATGCTCCATTTATGCGACACTTCTCCCATTTAGCACAAGGCATAAACCTCTTGTTGGACTGTTACACATCTGAGACGGACAGTCCCCACAACACAGTCATTTTGCCGACAAAAAGTCTTCATCTCTAATGAGAAGAAGTATCACGCTTGCCTGGCGATAACTTTACACTTTGGGATATGAAGGACAGTTATTTATAAAGACTGCATAAATCCCAAATGCTTGAAAGCGTAAATCCCAAAGCCCCTGCATTTTACAAAGGGACAGTGCAAAGTTCTCAAGACAGCCATCAGTCCTTATGTCTCTGGAGGAGCAAAGTTTTAGTCATGGGATACCTGGATTAACCAAACAGACAATAAGAAGAACAGTGGCAGATCCCAGGAAGGAATCACTTACAGGTGTCTCAAAATTGTACCAACCCTCATCTCACCAGGTAGCAGTGAGCTCCACCCTGCAGTGTTAAAATCTGAGCACTGGGTCACTTGTCAGGCATGTTGGGCATATGGGGATCTATGGCTCTAGCTTAACAGTTTCATTTTCTGAATTCCAGCTATTAGTCAATTACCCCCACAACTCTCCCAGCAAACCATAAATTCTTCTGATCTTCCTTTTAGAAGAGAAATCTTGTTTTGGAAGAAGAAAAACAAAACTGACTTTAGTTTTACAGAAACTTCCCAGGACCATATCCAAATGTACAATGAGGATCAAAAAGAACTGATGATCAAAAGCCACGTCCTACCAAGTCATCAAGCTTTCAGCAGAGGAGACGTGGAAGTGTAATTAGTAAGACACAAAAGCTTACAAATGGGGGGAGGAACGCTCTTCCTCTACTGCCTTCCTAGACACTCCCCAGTGAAAAGACCAACTAGGACTGTCAACCTCGGTGGGAGCATAAAATGTTAAACCACTTTGGAAAAGTACCAGCAATTTCTTATAAAACTAATAACCCTATGACACAGAATTCTACTCATAGGCACTCACCAAGAGATGGGTGGGGGGAGAATGTCCCTACAAAGACTTATACGTGAATGTCCACCTTACCTTTTATCTGTGTCCATTAGTAGCAGAATGAATAAACAAGTATAATATATTCACACAATGAAATACTACTTAGCAATAAAAAGGAACAAACTGTTGATTCACATAACACCATGGGTGAATCTCAATGCTGTGTGAGAGTCTGCACTAAGGAGAATGCACTGTATGTCTCCATTTACATGAAGGTCTAGTACAGGCAAAGTTATTCCACGGTAGGACAAAAACCAGAAGAGCAGCTGAGTGGGGGCTCTGGGGGGTTAGCAAGAGAGGACACAGGGCTCTGGTCAGAGTCTGGCTTACACTGCTACACACACCTTGCAAAAACTTAGCAAATGGAGGCTCACAATTTCTACACTTCATTGTATATAAATTTAACCTTAAAAGAAAAAAATAACTATAAACATATACTAAAAATTTATGCTGGAGTATTTAGGGGAAAGATACTGATGTTTGCAATTTCAATTAAAATTTATCAAAAAGATAAGACAGCATGATGATGGATGGGTGGGAATTGCGAACAGAATCTACCTGTAAAGTTCTCTTCACCTTGCTATGTCTGAAGTTTTTCATAATTTAAAATGTTGGTGAAAAATTCTTCCATCTTTAAAAAAGATGATCCCTAGGATCCCCCAATGGCTCTGGTCACCGAGTGTTCTCTGCTTCTCTCCAAGTTTCCAAAAAGAGACCAGTGCAATATGGCTTTTGTTGTCCCTTCCATCCAGAAATTGCCCAAGAAAGGTCCCCAATGACCTTTTTTTTTAGAGACAGAGTCTCACTTTATCACCCTCAGTAGAATGCCGTGGCATCACAGCTCACGGTAACCTCCAACTCCTGGGCTCAGGTCATTTTCCTGCCTCAGCCTCCCAAATAGCTGGGACCACAGGTGCCCACCACAACACCCAGCCATTTTTTGTTGCAGTTTGGCCGGGGCCGGGCTCAAACACACCACCCTCAGTATATGAGGCCGGCGCCTTAGCCACTGAGCCACAGGCACTGCCCCCTATGACCTTCTAATACAGGAGATAAATCTCCTTGGGCTTGGAGGAAAATAGAGAGTAGTTCCTTCCCAACTCCTGTGGCTATGAAAGGGTTTCTCCTACATTGAGTTGAGCAAAGTACTCTTAACACATGGCATTCCAAGTTTCAACTCTGCCACTAACTTACTAAAAAATAAAAATAAAGGCTCGGCATCCACAGCTCGGTGGTTAGGGCACTAGCCACATATACCAGGGCTGGCAGATTCAAACCTGGCCTGGGCCTGCTCAACGACAATGACAACTACAAAAATGTAGCGGGTGGCTCAGCACCTGTAGCTTAAGCCCAAGAGTGTGCTGTTGCTGTGAGCTGTGATGGCACTCTACTGAGGGCAACACAGTGAGACTCTGTCTCAAAAAAATAATACATTAATTTAAAAAAATAAATAATAGCTATGTTTCACTGAGTACCTACTACATGCCAGGCCCTATGCTGAGGGCTTTATGAATTTTGTATAACTGATAACCTATGAAGTCAAAACTGTTAGCAAAGTCCTCCTTTTCATGAAATTATATCAGATCTGACAAACTGAATTTTATTCTGTTACTATTAACAGAATACTTAATAAACACTCTATACTTCTGAGTACCATTTCTGCCCTTGAGAGTCACACAAGGTCTATTCATTGTTCAACATGAAAGCCCTACAAATACCTGAGTGCAATTAAATTATGCTCTTTAATCCATATTTCTTTGTTATGCTCCCAAAACACTTAGTTTTCTAAGCATGATAATATAAGTAATAATAATAGTAATTAATCCTTCCTGAGCACTCGAATGAGGTGCCAGTACCCGTGCCGAGTGCTTCATGCACTAACCCTGCACTGAGAGGTAGGGGCCCCAGAGCTGCACAGTTCCTGGTTTTCAACGCTCACCAAGCTGAGTACACCATCCAAATCCCTCCTATGCGGTAACTTCCAACCAAATTCTCCAACAATGCATAAACAACCAACAAATAATCTTAAGAAAACAAGCAACCTCACAGAAATTTTTTATTTTGGGGGACAGAATCCTACTCTGTCGCCCTGGTACAGTGACACAGCATAGTCATAGCTCATGGTGACCTCAAACTCGGGCTCAAGAGATACTCGTGCTTCAGCCTCTCAAGTAGCTGGGATTACAGGCGCAGCTCAGAGAATTTCCATTATAGACCTCCCAGGACAGACACAGTCTTGAGAAATCTTTTGGGTGCTTATGTTTTTGTAATTTACACATGATAACAAGAATGTTTCCTCTTACCTTGGTTTGTCCTGCTGCCTCGAGTCCACTATTTCCCTGGAAACTCACACAAGAACGATCACAAATGGTTTTCTTCAGGTGCTGGTTGTCTGCATACAGTTCCTTCACTAGCTGTATGAGGTCACTGACCTAAAAGATGAGAGCAGAAAACTGCCCAGCCAGTAGCAGACCTTGGCTTCCCGAGCCACCCCGCTTCCCAGACTTTCTGCGTCACAGATGTGGAAAATCAGGCTGCCTGGGTCTAGCCTTCAGGATGCCCCACATACAGTGACAAAACCGCCAGCTGTAACGTTGGGCATGCTGGTATTCTCACCCCAGAGCCAACAGCGCTAAGGCAAAGAGAATTGGGCGAGCTGCCTCATGTAAGCCTCAGCTTCCTCACGTGCAGGATGGGTTACCGTGAGAACCGAACATGACCGTTATCACAACGCCCTGAAGTCCTTGGTCCTGCTCAGCCAATGTTAGCCAATACTATTTCTGCCTTCCATACAAGACCCTCTAGAGGAAAACTTCCCCCAAGGCTAAAGTTCCTGAGACTGTTGGAGCCTTATTCTACAGTACTGACCTTATTCTACAGGTATTCATTTCTGTGACTACCTATCTAGCAAGGTCAGTAATAGTAACAGTTGTCAATTAGGAATCAATTTATAGCTAAGACTAAAATAGTCCTGTAGGCTTCAGTCAATCATTCCTTGCACAAATGCTAAGCAGACAGGCTAGTGTGAGTATTCCCATTTCACAAGGAGGAACCACAGCCCAAGGTCTCACACCTGGGATGCCCAGGGAACTAAATGAGATGCAACAACCAGAGGTGCCTGATCCCATGGGAAAGAGCAGCTGCCTCCACAGAGGCAGAACCAGGCCTGAACCCAGCTCGCCAGTGCTCCTTCCTAAGGCATAAGTCTTGCTGGGCCAGACACATAAGCAACTGAGCAGACACTCGCTGCTTCCTACAAGTTTCGAATCCCAATGGCCAGGAATTTTCCAAAAACTTCTTGATGGGCACAATCATTAGCTCTTCCAATAAAGTGGAAAATCCTATCCTGACTGCACATAGATGCTCAACTCGTCGAAACAGGGATGAAAATTGGACCCAATCCTCAAGGAGGTTCTAGTGAGAAGAACAGACCTTCTGATGCGACATTTACTAAGTGCCAAGCAACGGAAACACGTCCTGCCCTTCCCACAGCCACAGCGGACATCAGCAGCACCTACTGGCACCTCCATTTTTCCATCTTCAAAAACCAACACTTGTCTCAATGCCCCATGCCCTACTCTCAAAATACCCAAATTTTTACGGTGCTATTTCTTACTTCTGTGCCTTATACAGGCTGTTTTCTCTTCTCTGAGAAAGGCTTCCACCTGGACAAATTCCAAATTCATCCTTCAAAACCCATCTCAAGTCTCCTTTCTGTTGAGAAGACTCCCTTGACCAAGGAGGCCACCCGCACGTCCCTGGCAATTGACCTCTCCTCTGCTGCCTCTGTACCTTGCACCCGCCATCACAGTGACCCTTACACGCCATACTACAATGATTTGTTTGCGTTCCTGTCTCCTCTACCAAAATGGGAATTGTTCCAAGGCAGAAACTGAATCCCAGCCACACGTGTGCAATGATTTTATAACAAACCACATGGTTCCCCTACTCTCATGCTTCTCGCTCTTAACGATGGTGCTTAGAACCCAGAAACCCTAAACCACTCTAACCATGCCAATGATTAACAGACTAAAAAAACTTTCCAGTTCAAAATTAAAAATAAAGAGAATCATCAAACAAACTCGAGACTTTATTCAGCCAAAAGCATTTATTAGCTCCTACTATGCACGTTTCCAGGCACCGGAAAATCAGAAATGGGTGAGATACAGTCACTACATTTCAGACGTTCACAACCTAGCAGGGGATATAGACAAATAGGCAGACAATTCCAGATCACTATGACAAGGACATCAGTCTGGATTAGGAAGAAGAAGAGAGGTGGGTGACCGGAGGGGCCGGAGAGCCTCTCCTCTAGGAGAGCAAGCCTGGGCTGGGGCGCAGGCCTGAGGCGTGTGGGACGCAGGGGAGCATTCAGGGCGATGTACACAGGAGCACAGGAGCAATGAAGACAAGGCAGAGAGGACAGGGAGAAGGACAGGAAAGGGGCTTTCAGAGTCTTACACCTCTGATCAGGAACCCAAGAGACAACAAACAACCTTAAAAAAAAAAAATTAAAAGTTAAGAGTCAATACCTTTTTCTTAAGTTCCTCTTTAGAAAAATGCTCCACTTGAAACTGATTGTGCTGTTCAAGGCAAATACTTAGATAAGATGTTTGATCACTATAAAATGAAAAAGGTTCTTCTGCCAAAAGAAAAAAAAATAGAGGGGACAGGGAAGAGAACAGGAATATCAGAATCAGATCCTTCCAAGACCCATCCCAGTGCAATCCATCTACACAATTTAAATTGGAGGAGGTGGCACCGAAAGGGAGCGTAAGCACACAACGGGCATTCAAAGTGCCACCTTTGGAGCAAAAGTAATTTCCCCTTTCTCTCCGGCTGATATTTCAATGTATAGTTTTATCTTAGGCTGTAGGTTTTCACTGTGGCCAATCCTGAATTATAATTTGCATATCGAGTGCTGTGCCTGGAGACCATTCTAAATGGCACAAGCAAATGGTGATTTCAGTTTAAATGAGGGAGTGATTCTGTGTAGGTGAGAATACAGAAAAATTAGATGTGACCCTCAAGGGGAGAACTCAAGGGAAATAAAAGTAGCTGATCTATTTTTCACTGATCCCAGATCCCTCCTGGGAAGCAAGCACACTAAGTGCAGAGACTGCCGGCTGGAACTGAGGAAAAGAACCTCAGTCCCCTACGGAAGGGTCTGCTTCCTTCGCAGCAAAGGTCACCTTCTAACCAGGAGCGGAAATGGGGAGGAGTAGAAAGGCTGTTTATTGAGTAAGACAGATCCACAAACAGTACCTCATGTAACAAGACTAAGCTGATACATCTACAATGCAGGGTGGAATACTAAACAGAGCTAAGCTCCAAAGGAAGATATCCTGGCTCACATCCAGGCAAATCAAACCCCACCCTACCCTCCAGCTAAGCCTTAGCTTCTTCATCTGTAAGATGAAGTTAATGCCTAATCTCCCCAACAGGGACTGTGAGGATCAGAGATGAAAAGTGCCTAGAACCATGCCTTATACATAGTAGGTGCTCAAGAAATGTTGAGCCTACCAATTTTACAATAATTGCTCTATTCAATATAGTATTGAGCAGTGCAGATCCAGGCACTGGGCTATAAGGGGACAGGACACCAACCCAGACTTCAAGGGGCTCAGGTTCTAACAAGAGGACCAAATAGCACTGTGGTGTTTACAAGTGCAAAGCAAGCCCCATAAACCACCCTCACCCCCGAATGAATCTACAATCTAAGAACAACCTTCCAACCTGCAATAGCAGTTTCACCCACACACTTGTGCAGTCCTGGGCTCTCTGCAATGGGTGCTATGGCAATGCCCAGATATTTGGGTAATGAGGGCTGTTTATCAGGAAAAAAGGACCACAAGTCTCCAAGTTATCTGGAGCTGGGAATATCAAATGATGCAAAAAACACAGGCAGCAAAGAAATTCTCCTACACCAGACCCTCTGTAGCATTTAACAGAATTTACTGGGCTCTTCAACTAAGAAGGCCAAAGCCAGATGGATACACCCTGGGAAAGCCGACAGCAACATGGTTGCCACAAAAAGAACCCCAGATGAAATCCAGTGGGTCCTTCACTTCCTAAGGAAGCATTAGCACTACCTTAAAGTTCGGCCCACACCCTCCAAAGGAAAAGCCAAAGGGAGATACACAGAAGAGAGCACGTACCTTCCTGCCTCCGAATTTCACTGATCTGCTCCTCCAGGGTTTTCTGCAAATTCTGATATGAAAGTACATCATGTTCCAGTTGCTTCCGCAGGGCAAAAATTTTGTCTAACTCAGCCTGCAGGTTGTTGATACTTGATAAAACAAGACACCAGAACTTTAAAAACAGATCTATTTGTGCTTTAAGATGCAAAGCTCAGCAAGCATTCCTGTGATCTTTATGTCCTCTGTGTTTTTTCTGGTTATAAAAGTAAATGCATGTTTATTATAGGAAATTTTAAATATAAAAGTATGAAACAAACTCTTTCCATGCTCCAACTACCAATTAACACTTGGCAGACTGCGTTTCCTCTTCTTTTTCCCTGTATTTTTACAAGGTTGAAATAACATGGGACATACAACGCTGAATTGACATGCCTCACTTCAATATGTTTCTACATTTTTGGAAATTATCTGTGAGTATCATTTTTAATGAGGATATAACATTTAAACCAGGTGACTGTTCCACCATTTACTTTAAAATGCATCCCCTGTTAGTATTTATCTGAGTCATTTCCAAGTTTTCGCTACAAATATAACCAGATGGAAATAATATAATTCTCTGCACTGCTCAATACAGTGACCACTAGCCATCTTCAAATTTAAACTTACTTTAAATCTAATAAAATCAAACATGCAAACATGTGCGTTAGCCACATTTCAAATGCTCAAAAGGAAGATTTAGCTTGTGGCTACCAAAGCAGAAAGTGCAGATAGAGAAGGTTTACTGGACAGAGTCCTACAAGTGATGCAAATTCTCGGAGGTGCTAATTTCCACAGCTTCCTCTGGGTTTTGAGCTTTTGGTTCCACGAACGCTTTCTGTATAGCTTAGCACTTTCACATTGATGTGAAACTGGACAACTCCCCTTCTAAACTAAAGACGCATTTGTACTATGCACTTATGAGTACTGTCCCACCACAGTGGACTTCTGAGCCCTCAGTTGGTCCTCTTTCTTATTGTTGACTCACTCTTCATTTTTTTCTCTTCCTTCCTGTCCCTCACCCTCACTCCCAATACTGTATTGAGCAGTGCAAATCCGTAGGAAAGACTTCTTACTTCTAATGACATGCAGCTGGCAGAGATCTTAAATCCAGCTCTCAGGGGAACGTGGAGACCCCAGCTAACATCTAAACAGCATCAATAATGCTGTTCTGTACATCTCTGTGCCTAAGCCTTGTTTGACTTTCAGGTTGTTTCTTAAGATTCCCAGGAGTGCAATTACTGGGTCAAAGTATATACGAACGTCATTAAAGATGAAATACATTAACACATCAGAAAGTCGGCCTTTTTACATACCAAGAAACATATCACTCTCTGTCCAGTGTCTGACCTAAGGCTCCCTAAGGTCCATCAACACCTTGAAACCATCTGCAAAAATATTTGAACATGCAGATCTTTCTGGGGAGAAGGCCCATAAGCTTCACTCAGATTTTTCAAAAGGGGTCCACAGCCCCCAAAAGGTTAGGAGACACTGCTCTAAATATGTATGTCAGACTCAAGCACCATCTCTCCTTCGAAGACATCTTCCCACTCCATCCGTCAAACTGCACACATAAATCAACATATGTTGGGAGGAAAATAAGCTATTATGTCCAATCTTTGATGCTTTGAGGACTGCTCATCGTGAAGTAGTCTTTATGCAAGGGAAGGGGCCCAGCTTGCATCCTGCACCTAGTTCCATTTCAAGACAATCATAATGATCAATTTGTAAGGCTGATGGAAAACCTTACAGAGGTGTCACAGCACAGCACTCCCTTGGATGCAGTCATGCTGCAGAGACATTTAACTAGGGGAAAAAAGATGGTTTCAGTGAAGCTCCTGCGATCAGGGCTGGGGAAAGCTAACTGCTTCACTCCCGCTCCCATCTCCTGACAGGGTGAAAAGTACACAGCTGCTGCTCCCCTGTCTGTCATTTCTGTTTTCCCAGCTCCAGAATCTTTTCAAGGTGTGAAAAGTTAGCAGAACAAAAGGTGCTTCATTCAGAAAGAAACGAAAACCCTGTACCTTCCTCTTTCTGGAACTGGGGGGGAGGAAGGGGGAGGCCTCGCGGGCAGGAGCAGAAATGAGTCAGAGAGAGAGATCCAAGCTCAAAATAACACAGCACACTATGCAGCTCCATGCCTGCCGGCAGGTCACTTCAACTGCCTGAGACCGGATTTCCTCCCCCGGGGAGTGGGGGTAACAATACCTTTACCTCAAGATTGTTTTGAGGATTAACTGAGACCTGACACTGGAAAGAGCCTGCACAGTGCATAACACACCCGACACTCAGCAAACACCATCTCCTTCCTTCCATGGAGCCCAATGCCTTTGCAAAAAATGACACTCATGAGCCAAAACTGGTAGTTTTCATGAGTTACAGCAACAATTCTCTGGATATGATTTTCCTCCACAGGGGACATTTGGCAACATCTAAAGACATTTTTGGCTGTTACCACTGGTGCAGAGGGAGCAGGTGTGCTAGTGGCATCTGGGCAGAGGTCAGGGATTGCTAAACATCCTACAATGCATAGGACATCCCTTCATGACAAAAAAATTACCCACCCCAAATCCCAACACCACTGAGGCCCAGAAACCCTGATTTACAGGTTAGTGCTAACGGTGCTAGTCCTCATGCTGGATAGCACATCAATAGGAGCACGGAGATCTGAGCTTTGATCATTCCTAACTGTGAACCTTGGGCAAGATGTTACCATCTCGGAAGCCACACATCCACTTCTGTAATATGAGGATAAAGCAGCAACTTTGAGTGCGGGTATAAAGAATAAATAGGAAAAGTACAGGGATTAGGTAACACAGCTGCCCACGATGACTTTCCTTCCTCGCTTTCCAGTTTTAATCACAGCACATCATGTCTCCAGTCACCCACCTTTACTGCTAATTTCCGGAGAGTGAGCAGTGCTGGAGTTATAGAAGGGAGGTCCACCTGCCTCAGCCCACAGTTCTGTCCGCTGAGGTTTCTGATCCCCCAGCTACAGCCAGGCACACTAGGATATCAAGGCCTATGTAAGCTTTTCATGTTGCTTTTATTCTAAGAAGTGTTACCACATACTAGTGAGTGCTCACTATGTGCTGGCCAGTACTGGGGCTTTACACAGTATCATCTCGTTTCAAAACAACCTGATAGAGTAGGCAGATAGGGAGGCAGGTTGGTAGGTGGATCACCCAAAGTTAATTTTATAAACACACTGAGGCTCAGGTGCTCACGGAGGCACTTATCCAAGAGCTCAGAGCTGCTGAGTGGCAGAGCTGGTATTTGGAACCAAGTATGTCTCCCCATAAGTCTGAAGACGAACAGGAAACCTGTTAAGCATCCTTGTTAGTCATAGGCCCGACCTGCCTCAGTCCCATCCATGTTTTTATTCATTAAGAGAAACTATGAAACTCAGAGCCGTTCACAGTGCCGAGGGGGCCTGAGGGCAGCCACATCCACCCACAGGGCCTCTTGATACCCAGAAAAGCTGCACAACTGAAATGTGTCCATTCCTCTGGGAGTTTCCCCACATGACTCAACCCCTCTCCCAAGCGAAAATGGCCAGAAGCTGAGGCTTCTTGAAAAAGCTCCCTTTCAGACAGTGATGCCCACTCCCTTCATCAGCATGTTTTCATTTTCTCTAAACTCAGTTCAGCTTTAAAAATCTGGAAATGATCTCATAATATGGGAGATGAGCACTGAGGGGTGGGGCGTGCTGCCCAGAAGTTTCCTGAATGCCTACTCTACCCCCGGCCTGGGCAGCTCCCCGTGCGATAAGGAAACAGTAGACACAGACGAGGGCACAGGATGACCATCCAACGCAAGCCAGGGGGCTGCTCTGGGGATTAGGTGGGTGACACTCAAGGCTAAATTCTAAAAGCTTAATTCAAAGGGACTGGTGGGGGACCAAGTAGGGGAAAGAGGGAAGGAGGCTGGTAAGAAGCACGAGTGGAGGCAGAGTCTGCAAGAGCGCACAGCCCGGGGAACGAGGAAGAGCTCACTCCAGCAAGAGCACAGGGCAGGTGAGGAGGGCAGGGAAGGCCCAGGCTTGAGACTTTTTATTATGGAAAATTTTAAACACACAAAGGAAGAGAAACTGATGTACCACACCGCAGCACCGACAATCAGGGCGCACGGCTAGCCTTGTTCCTTCCATATCCCTACCCACTTCCTCTGCTTCTGTACTGTTTTAAAATGAATTCTAGACATTAACTCCTTTCAACTATAACTACCCCACTGTGTAGAGAAATGATTTCTTTATGTGAGAACTCCTTGAGGCCAACCCTGCATTTATAGATGTGCAAACAGAAGCCAGAGCAGGCCACATGCCCGAGGACACAGAGGTAGGAAGTGGGAGAGCCAGGGCCAGAACAAGACCACTAGCCCATAATTGGCTCTTCTCACCAGACCACACTGGCACCAAATTGTTTCAGTAATTCTGCAGAGACAAGGTGCCCCGAGACACAGAGACTTGTTTGGATTCTGGGGTCTGCCACTCAACACCTATGAGGCTTTTGAACAAGTCACTTAAGCTCTCCTAGTTTTCATGGCCTTGTGGAAAAAAGAGATACCATTATTACTTATCTGATAGAACAGTTGTGAGGATCACATAAGATAACAGACACAAAAGCAATTTCTAAATATATTACAAAGAATTTAGACATCTGAGCAATTATTGTATTTCCTCCTAATTTCATTGCCAAAAATCAGACAATTCTCGATAGAAAACAGGTATATACAACGAAATATAGCAATTATCAGCCAAATAAACTTGCTAAGCAAAATGATAGGGCTGTGCTGCCTTAGAGGCACCAGCACTTATTCAAGGTGTGTGTGTTCACACTCACATGTGTGTGACATCCAAACAGAAACCCCTTACCTGTCTGATTCCTGCAGAGATTCTACCAGATGGGTATAGATGTCCTGCTCTTTCTGTAAGACCTGAATTAGTTCTTCATAGTCTGATGGTTGCTTTTCCTGAAATGACAATGGGCATCTGATATTAAGGGAACAATTTTAAAAGAGAACACCCTTACATTATGCAAACATATGTGGCTAGCTCTGGTTTTTAAAACCAAATGAAGGTGCCAGGCTCTGGCTCAGGCCACAGTCAAAGAGCACCACCTTCAGGAGGAGTGGGGAATGACAGCCCATCACTTTGCCAGAACAAGGCTGAGGGCTGAGCTTCTAACACTAACAGCTGCTAGAAAAGAAAGACTCATCAGTTACCTGGCTTGCCCATCATGAAACTGTCATCCCTCAGAGCTGCGGGTCATCGTTTTCACAACACTACAAAGAATGCCTTTCCGTGTTTGCTGCTGTCTGAAGTAGAGGACGAGGACTCACACAAAGCAGAAGCAGCCAGGTGAGGCCCAGTTGGGAGGCACCAGCATAGTGATACTGGAGATCTGAGCTGATCTCAGTTACCTGCTACGATGTGCACCTTGGGTAACAAACCTCTATAAGGTCCAGCCTCATCATTTAAGAGATGGAAATGTAGTTTTTTGAATTCGCATTCACAAATACGCAGTGTTTTACAAAGTTCAGATTTTGGCTCTGCCATTTACCAGTTCTGGGACTTTGGAAAGTTACTTACAAAGAGCCTCAGTATTCCCACCTGCAAAGTGGTGGACAATAACCACCACCCTATGGAGCCATGGAACAGGTCAAAGATAAATTGTGAGTTGTAAGAAACCAGAGGTACACAGAGAAATGGCCAATTCCAGTATTGGGACTAGGAAAATCGGGGGAAACAGAAGATACAGCTCTACGGCATTCTGTTGTGCCACAAAGCAAGGAAGTACTTAAAGAGTGGAACAGTGGCTGCCAGAGGAAGGGCGGGGAGATGTTGGAGAAGTTGGTCAAAGGGAAAGTTCCAGTGATGCAAGATGAGCAAGGGTAATCTGGCCAAAAATTGTAAAAGAATGCTAACACCAGTATGTGAGATTTAAAGATCTGTATATTTATAGAGACTCAAAACACTTCCCCCAAATACAAAGGGAAAAAGAATAACAGATAGTCAAGACACGTGGCAGATGCCGCTTTCATAAAGTTATCAAGTTAGCATGGCCAGGAACGGGACAAATGGAATCGCGTATCATGGGATGGGACACAGTGAGAACAGCATCACTACAGTGGTTTTCCTACCAAAGGTGCACGGACTGAAGGGTCACCCAGAAAACACCAGACACTAATGCAAGCTGAAGGACATTCTATTAACACAACATCACTGGCCTAGACGCTTCAAAAGGATCCAGGTCATAAGATTCCAGGAAAGATTGAGAAACTATTCCAGATTAAAAGCTGGCATGACCCTGAACAGGATCCTTGGGCTACAAAGGGTATTACTGAGACAACTGATGAGATACGTATGAGTCTGAGAATTGGAAGGTCATGGTGAAGGATCCTAGTTGTGGTGGCTGGGCAGAGGTTATACAGGAGAACGTCCCTGTGCGTAGGAAAGAAACACCAACATACTCAGAAGGGACAGGGCTTCTCTTAGCGACTTTCCCTCAGAAGGCTCAGGAAAAAGAGAATCCTTTACCCTTGTAACTTTTCCATAAATTTGAAACTATTCCAAAATTAAAGAAAAAATGTTAAATAAATAAAGTTACTATGTATAGAATACCTAACATAGTACCTTGTTTCCCCGAAAATAAGAACTACCCAAAAAATAAACCCTAGCAGGATTTCTATGCATTTGTTAAATATAAGCCCTACCCCGATAATAAGACCTAGTGATGGGTGTGGTTATGCAGCGTATCTGTATAGCCACACCGGTGCAGAGCAGTAAGACTGGAATACCTTTTATCTGCCACAGCTCCATTCTCCAAGCTGTTCACACTTGCACAGGTGCATGTGTGATAACCTCGGTCGCAGGCATCCTATTGTACACGCGCAAACGGCTAGGGGAAAGGAGTTCACGCATCACTAGTGCCAGCCCCACCAACAAGGTTGGCTCCCCTGTCAGGTTCCAGAAGAAGATGACTTAACTATATTTGAATAAATGTAGATTGTTGTATTATACTTAATAAAAATGAGACATCCCCTGAAAATAAGCCCTAGTGTGTCCTTTTGAGAAAAAATAAATATAAGACAGTGTCTTATTTTCGGGGAAATACAGTACCTACCATCTACCAGATGCTGGAGGGAGATATTCAGTTGATAGAAAAACTGGGGGGGCTACAAACCTTTGTTGTTCACATGGACTTATGTTTTCTCCTAAAGTTAAGCTAGCACCTAACAGGGGTTTCTTAACCTGATCAAAATTTAGGGTGGAGCTGGGCATGGTGGCTGACATCTGTAATCTTACTACTATGGAAAGCTGACGTGGGAGGATCACTTTAAGGCCAGGAGCTGGAGACCCAAAAGAGCAAGACCTTGTCTCTACAAAAAATATAAAACTTAGCCAGGCGTGATGACGCGTGCTTACAGTCTTAGCTACCAGAGGGGCTGAGGCAGGAGGATTGCTTAAGTGTAGGAATTCAGGTTGCAGTGAGCTATGATGATACCACTGTACTCTAGCCAGGTTGATAGAGACTCTATTTAAAAATAAAAGCAGAACAGGCTTCTACCAAAAAAATTCAAAAATAAGCCAGGCATAGTGGTGTACACCTATAGTCCCTAATATTCAGGAGGCTGAGGTGGGAGAATCTCTGGAGTCCAGAAGTTCAGGGTTCCAATGAGCTATAATTGGGCCACTACACTACACTCCAGCTGAGACCCTGTCTCTAAAAAACTTAAAAAGTAAAAACACGAAACTTAGGGGCTGCATGAATGTGAAGGGGGAAAAACTTACATCTTTGTTTCACTAACTTCTAACTAAAATTGAGCATGCCCTTCAATTATGAATCAGAGGAATATTACTGCTGCTACAAACCAGTGGAGTGAGGGTCGACCGTGACTTTGTCATTAAAAGAAATAGTTATTTTCTATATGCTGCAGGTATCTCAAAATATTCATTTTTGTCACTCCTTCACCACCATATTTGTTTAATGTATTAGTAAAGACACACCATTTCTACAGTATAATTTATGTTTCCATAACTGAATTTCAAACTCTTTGGTTTCCTTTAGAATCCGTGATATATTTTATGCATTTAAACATTTTTCCAGGGAAGGGGTCCTTGGCTTCAGCAGATGGCCAAAGGGATGCAGAGAGCAAAAGAACCCCTGAGCTAGGGGAGCACTCTTTATGTTCCCTACCCTGACAAAACAAGTAAGGCACCACCTGCCGATTAAAACTTCTAAATGCTAAACCACCAGCTTCATCGTGCTAAGTTAGGTATCCAGACTGCTAGAAATGTCAGGCCCTTTTGTAAATGGTGCCACATGTCACTGGCACAGGAGCTCCCAAATGCCTTTTGTACACAACAACAGTATCACGTGGGATTCTCTCAGCTCCCACCTGCACACACCCACGTGTGCAGCTCCAGGGCCCCAAAGAAGACAGTGGGCCTGCCTTAAACAGGACACCAGGAATAGGAGGCGATCCTGTCCTCAGCACATCAGCCACCATGCGAAGCATTCTCCAGGCACTCTCTCATTTGCCCTCACACCAACCCTGTGAGCCCACACGTTAGTGTGCTCTCCACTTCAGAGATGAGGAGACTGAGGCACAGAGGGCTGTGTGCCCAGGATCGGGGAGGCGAGGCAGGGGGTGGACTCTGAGGCCCGTGTTCTTCAGCCCACCCACACTGCACAGATGCACAACACGGGGTGCTTGACAAGGGTGATGTGTCAGCCAAAGAAAATAAGAAAAGCCTGTGACAAATAGGAAAAACTGCTGCTTCCTGAGCATCTATCACGAGAGAAGTGAGGGTTAAGAGCATGTGACCTTACTGACTGTGTGACCCAACAAGTTACTCAACCTCTCTGTGTTTCAATACCCTCACCTATAAATGGGGGTAATAATTCTATAGATCTCATAGGGTTGTTAGGAAATTAAATGAGTTAATCTAGACTAAGTTCTCAGAACAATGCCTGGCTCCAAGTCAGCACTCGACAAATGTCAGCTGTGTTTATTATCCTGCGCTCCAAGCGCTGCGCTAGTCACTTACATACATCATCCCTAATTGGCACGGCGTCGCAGGGAAGTACTTAATTCTCCCACTCTTCAGATGATGCCACTGAGTCTCTGGGAACAGAGATAACAAGTTACCACTCACCTAATGATTGATAAATTCAGAATTTGTGTTTAAGGATGTCACTTCAAAGCCAACCAAGAATGGCTAGGAAAAAAAGAGCAACACGGATTTCTGGTGGGTGGCACAGAGACGGCAGGGATGTATGTAGGTGCAACCCGGATCTTAACCAGATCTGTGGAAGCTGGCTCCAAGTTCTGTAGGAGGACAGCCCACGGCCACACCAGAGCCTGGATGCTGGCACAGCCCCCTCCCCTCTTCTCTCTGGCAGCTATTCCAAAGCTTCCCAAGTTTTTCAAGCCACCTCTATCCTCAGCTCCTGCCCTCATCCTTTCCTCCTGCCCTTCTATCTCAATGGAACCGGGGAGTCCCTCCAGCTGAGCAGCAGGAAGGACACCTCCCCCTGTTTGGAGACCACTCTCCACTGACTCACTCCAGAGCATCTCCTTAGAGATCTTACGCAGGCAGACCTCACCAGGAAACCTGTCCTAAGAAAAATGCCTCCTCCAGCTGCCAGAGCAAAGCAGACGGGCTCACCTCTGCCCCACAGCTGGTGCACCCAAGCACCTATTTACACACTCTTGTCAAGCCCCCAGTGTACTGCATCTATTTTCAGGCAGTGGTAGGTGGGCTGAAGAGCATCCCCACCTCACCTCCCTGACCCACTAGGGCTGTGGGCTCCCTGCAAGCAACAGTGTCCCGCGCCAGGCACAGTGTCTGGCACAAATCAAAGGCTGCCATGTATACTTGCCGAAGAGCAAATAGGTGAAGAGGGGAACACAGGGACTGATAGGAATCGAAGAGCAGAGATTCCTGGGGATATTTTGTATAATGG